AGGGGAAGTGAGAGAGGCAAGTAAGGGACGCAGTGTGAAGGATCTTCTAGGCCAAAGAATTTGAAAATTATTCTGAGGGCAGAATAAGGCTTTAAAAAGGGTTAGGTAGAGTGGCAGGGGAGTGACAAGATCAGACTGTGTTTTGGCAGCTCACTTTATTTTTTTTTATTTTATTTTTTGCGGTATGCGGGCCTCTCACTGTTGTGGCCTCTCCCGTTGCGGAGCACAGGCTCCGGACGCGCAGGCTCAGTGGCCATGGCTCACGGGCCCAGCCGCTCCGCAGCATGTGGGATCTTCCTGGACCGGGGCACGAACCCGTGTCCCCTCCATCGGCAGGCGGACTCTCAAGCACTGCGCCACCAGGGACGCCGGGCTGCTCACTTTAGAGAGGGGCAAGCCTGGTTAGCAGGACACTGCAGTGATGCTGGCAGGAACTCTGCTGGGACAGTAGTGGCAACAGCAGAGGAAAGAAGTGGGCTGGTTTGAGAGAGATGCTGGTGATGTAGGCAGAACTAAGTGGATAGATTGGCCATGGGGAGTAGTGGTGAGTTAGGGGTCAGAGCTGATTCTGGGGTTTCTGGATTAGATAACTAGGTACATGTTACAAATGACAGAGGTTGCAAATGAATTAGGACGTGACTATATTATCCAGGTAATTTTAAAAAAATATTTATTCATTTATTTATGCGGCTTCACATCTTATTTGCGGCATGCGGGATCTTTAGTTGCGGCATGCGGGATCTTAGTTGCAGCATGTGGACTTTTTAGTTGTGGCATGCAGACTCTTAGTTGCGGCACGTGGACTGTTAGTTGCAGCATGCATGTGGGATATAGTTCCCTGACCAGGGATCAAACCCAGGCCCCCTGCCTTGAGAGTGTGGAGTCTCACCCATTGGACCACCAGGGAAGTCTCCAGGTAATTTTTTAATGATAAGAGAAGTAGGGTAAAAGCACAGAGAGTTAGGTCAGCTTTGGATTCAAATCCAATTTGGTCAGTATACTCCTGTGTATGCTTACTTGCACATTTAAGTTCGCCAATATCTGGGAACATTTATGTACAAAGCATGGGGTGAGGGGATTAATAAATATGAACGTTAGATGAAAGCATGATTGAGATGGCTAGCCATGTGTTTAGTTTGGTAAGAGTCCAGTGTAACCAGGGGCACCTGATAGAGCAAAGGAGGGCTTGAGAGACAGCCATGCTGAAAACAAAGGGTAGGCTTATTGAGGATAAGGGAGAAGGGGACTGTTTGAAAAGCAGCTGTGTGATTAGAGAGACCAGAGTTCTGGAACATGGGGTGGAACAGTAAGAAGTAGTTCCTGTAGTACCTGAGGTCTGGCTGCATTTCTGTTGTGATGCCCAGTTGTGTACTGGAAGGGCTGGCATGTGGAGTTATAGTTGCTGGTGGTGGCTGGAGACAGGAGAGAGAAGGCAGCTGTGAACCAAGGCTCAAGTCTTTAGGGGATACATAGGTTTCTCTCAGGCTGGTAGAGGACTATGAGAAGGTTCTGGAGGGACTGGCGTAAGGCGCTGGCCTCCTAAGAGCATTCTGGGGACTAACAGCAGGAAGACGGTAGAACCCCAGTGTGTTTATTATTTACTGCTGTGTAACAAATCCCCGCAAAACTTAGCAGCTTAAGACAGCAAACACTTGTTATCACAGTTTCTGAGAGTAAGGAGTCCAGGAGCAGCTTAGCTGAATGATTTTGGCTCAAGGTCTCATGAGGTTACAAACTGCCGGGGGCTCGACAGGGACTAGAGGATCTGGTTCCAAGTACACTCACCTGGTTGTTGGCAGGAGGCTTCAAATCCTTGTTACCTGGGCCCCTCAGTAGGGCTGCTTGTGATGTGGTAGCTGGTGTCACCTAGAGCAAGTGATCCAAGAGAGGGAGAGAGCATGAGAGAATGATTCAAGTAGAAACTGTAGTGTCTTTTCTGTATAACCTAATGTAGGAAGTGATATACTATAATTTTTGCTATATTCTGTGGTACACAGAGACCACCCTGGTACAAGATGGGGGAGGTGGAAAGGAGGCTTGTTCTAGGGGAAGAACAAAATCAGTGATGGAATTTAGTCTCAATGGAATAGGCACTCTACAGGACAGAACTGAAGGGGCCAGTAGGGAGACTGGAAGGGGGAGAGTATGAGTCTGGACTAAGGGATGTGTCTGTAGACAGGGCACAGAGCCAAGTACTTTTGAGATGGGAACAGGAGAACATTATATTTTGGGAATATGTGTCTGGGCCAGGGGGTTTAATTGGATTTTAGATAATGGATACTGTTTGTAGTCTGGTGGAACCTATGGACTTCTTCTCAAAATACTGTTTTTAAATGTATAAAATAAAAAATAGGATTACAAAGGAAATCAGTTATGTTGAAATAGTTATCAGAATATTAAATATATGTGATGTAAAGAAAATGAATTTTAGGGCTTCCCTGGTGGCGCAGTGGTTGAGAGTCCGCCTGCCGATGCAGGGAACACGGGTTCGTGCCCCGGTCCGGGAAGATCCCACATGCCGTGGAGCGGCTAGGCCTGTGAGCCATGGCCGCTGAGCCTGCGCGTCCGGAGCAACGGGAGAGGCCACGACAGTGAGAGGCCCGCATACAGCAAAAAAAAAAAAGAAAAAAGAAAAAAGAAAAGAAAATGCATTTTAAATGTAGGCAAGAGGTTAGTGAAAATGAAGGATTTAAATTTGATTGAAATTCCTATTCTAATTCATGGTCCCTTCCCAAGTTCATGGACCCTAGGTTAACCAGTAGCCTAAGGAGATGGTTGAGACTCATGAGGTTAAAGAGGCTAGAACAGCGGTCCCCAACCTTTTTGGCACCAGGGACCGGTTTCGTTGAAGACAGTTTTTCCACAGACGGTGGGGAGGGGAGGCGGGAGTGGGGGATGGTTCAGGCGGTAATGAGAGCGATGGGGGCAACAGGTGAAGCATGGCTCGCTCGCTGCTCACCTCCTGCTGTGCGGCCCGGTTCCTAACAGGCCGCAGACCGGTACCGGTCCATGGCCCGGGGGTTGGGGACCCCTGGGCTAGAAGATGAGAGGCAGGCCTCAGGGACATATGCTTAAGGATGGTGGCGGGAGAAGGAAGCTTAGAGGCCAATCACCAGCTGTAAGGTTTCTCTTGGGGTGTTTGCAATATTCAGGTTTCAGTCCAAGTTGTTTTTGAAAAAAATCTTCCCAGGATTTTGGAAAGGGGCCGGGGGTTAGCACATTGGGATAAGCTATTTTTGAATTTACTTTTGAGATGCATTTTAATGCTTTGACTTGAGAAATAGTCCGTTATATTCTGAAAATATTTAATATGTGGTTTTCCACAGTTTTAGTGTTGCTTAGATTGGGCTCATGGAGATAAGATGTGGTGACAATTTCATTGTTACTGGTAATCCTGGCTAGTAAAGTTTAGGAGAATTGAATTTTTGTGTAGTTTTCAGAATAGGATGTCTAATGGTTGCGTTGGGTATGCAGGGTTTTTGAAATACTGTCTACTTACCTTAATAGTAATTACAATTAAGCTGTCCACGTGTGTTATGTAGATGACATTATCAGTAAAACTTATTCTTTGTGTGGCTTGTTGGAAGATCTGCTGCTCCAAGCCCCACTTGTGACTGGAAGTCTGCATTCAGGAAGGTCGTCCAGGTTAGTGGCTGCATCTGTAGTGACAGCAGAGAACAGAGCTAACTGGCTCGCTCAGGGTCACACCAGACTCATTTCCTCTTTAGCAGATACTCACCTTGGATTTCAGAATTCTCTGTATATAGATTTCTTGAGCTCCACAAAAGGAGTACAAGTTAAATGTAAGATAATGTCTTTTCATCGTTTGTTGTTATTCATCATTTAAAAAGGACAGGAAAGTTCTAGCCACCTCCTTGTTTAGAGGTTCTCTGTGGTAGTGCTCACGACACCGGTGCTCAGATTTCATTCCCGTTGAATTGTACTACTGCAGAGATTTGTTGTCTGTTTTACACTCGAAGAAGCCAGGTGCTTTTTTAACAAATTAAGAATTATAGGGACTTCCCTGGTGGTCCAGTGGTTAAGATGCCGTGCTTCCACAGCAGGGGGTGCGGGTTTGATCCCTGGTCGGGGAACTAAGATCCCGCATGCTGTGTGGTGCGGCCAAAAAACAGAAAAAAAAAAAAAAAAAAAAAGTCAGAATTGTAACAAGTGGGAAGGGATTTGAAGTCATTGGGAACTAACCCTTTAAAGGTTGGGAATCCGCCTGCCAGTGCAGGGGACATGGATTTGATCCCTGGTCCAGGGAGATCCCACATGCCGTGGAGCAACTAAGCCCGTGCGCCACAACTGTTGAACCTGTGCTCTAGATCCTGCGCTACTGAAGCCCGCGTGCCTAGAGCCCGTGCTCCGCAACAAGAGAAGCCACCGCAATGAGAAGCCCGCGCACTGCAATGAAGGGTAGCCCCCATTCGCCGCAACTAGAGAAAGCCCGCGCATAGCAATGAAGACCCAACACAGCCAAAAATAACTAAAAATAAATAAATTTATTTAAAAAAATCATGCTTTTCTTTACTCTAAGTCAAAGTACTTGAAATATTCTTAACAGAGCAGAAGAGTGTTTGTACTTTCCTCTTTCTCTGTGAGCTAGAATTCCCTGTTTTTTAATAAGAATGTTTTTATTAGGGGTATGATGGTTATTACTTTTTTTTTGTCCTCCCTCCCCCTCCTATGATGAACGTTTGTGAACAACTCCATTTTACATAAATTTTTATATGCATCTTTATGTATTTCCTTGGGATAAACTCCACTAGAAAGTAGAACTACTGAGTTGAGAGGGTAAAACATTTTTATCACTGTTTTCCAGGGAAGTTGGACTGATATATACTTATACTATTGAGGAAATAACACCCAGTACCTCATATATTTAAAACAAAAACACCTTGAGTTACTGGGACATTTTGGTAATTTCTTTTATACACTGTTTTCTGCTTCCACTGATGATAAATGAGATGTAGAGGAAAGTTTCTTTTGTATTTAAGGTGTCTCAACAAGCCGCAAAGTGTATTCCAGCAATGGTGTGTCCTGAACTGACAGAGCAAATCCGGCGTGAGATAGCTGCCTCTCTTCATCAGAGAAAGGGGGATTTTGCTTGCTATTTCCTAACTGACCTTGTAACATTTACGTTGCCAGCAGGTAACTCCAGATCTCTGTGTGAAAATAAATTTCAACTTTATTATAATTTTTTAATGTCTGAATGAAAATGTTTCTGTTAGAAAACAGATAACTTAGCTACTATATGTGGATCTTAAATTACTTGATTACCCTGTTTTACTGGAAGTGACCAGTACAAGGGCCATTTATGAACTAACGCCTTAGAGCTGATAGGAAGACAGCAGCTGATAATAAGTGACTTCTTTGTGGGCCTCAGATATTTTAAAAGTCTGTTTTATCCATTTATTTTTCTCTTTGTTTTTATTTTAGAATAGTATCAGTCTGCTTTTTTTCTTTTTCTTTTCATAGATAACTATTGGTTACCTGATATTAGGAGACAAGATCAGAACATGGGTTTTTGATGGGTAGAGTCAAGTTATTTGAGTCAAAGATACTGGCATTCTTTTGAAAGTGTCATTACTTTCTTCACTTTCTACGTTAATTTCTACTATATTTGTGAAGCAACTTTTTATTTTTCAGTTCCATGACAAGTGGAAATGTCTTCCAGGCTGTTTTTTGTCAGTTGGCGTTGAATAAATGCAGTAAACACCAAAAGGTTCTAAATAAAACTTATATTTTGGTTTTGAGTGTTTTGAGCTTTTTTTATATTGAGATATGAACAGAGGTATTTACAAAATGGTAGAAAATAACAACTAAGCTTTTAAAAATCAGATAAATTTCATTTGAAATGCACTCTGTATATTTAAACTTAGTACTTCAAGTGATGATTAGATTTTAAGTTGAAAATAGTTCTAAGGTTAAAACATTTTTGTAAGGGTAATGCTTCTTACTCTAGACTACTCAGTTAGTAAACTGAACAGAGAGCATAGAGAATTTGAGAAGGTGAGGAAAACAGAAATCTGCATGCCAAAGTGAATGGCTCAGTAACTTGTGTAAGGAGATTCTAAAGTCTGAAAATCACAGTCCTGAGCAGAGGTTGAGAGTGTGGGGGAAAGAGAACAGACAAAAATTTGTTTGTTTGTTGTTGTTGTTTTAACTTGAATATTAGATAGCTCTGTTCTTTTCTCTTTTATTTCAACTTTATTAAATTATCATTGACGTAGAAAATTGTAAAATATTTAAAGTGTACTTTGTGGTGATTTGATTTATACATTGTGAAAGTTAACTGTTAATTAACTAGATTCCCCCCATCTAGTTAATTAACACATTCATCACCTCACATTTATTTATCTGTTTATTTATATTTTGGGTGAGAACATTAAGTTTTGTTCTCTTAGTGAATTTCAATTGTACAATACAGCGTTACTATTGTTACTATGTTTTGCATTTAATCCTAGCTGTCTTCATTTTATGGTTTATCGTTTGTACTCTTTTAGCAATTTCTCCCTAATCCCTTCCTGCCTTGCCCCTGGCAGCTGCTTTTCTACTCTCTGTTTCTATGAGTTTGACTTTTTTTTTAAGATCCCATATGTAAGTAATACCATACAATATTGGTCTTTCTGTTGAGCTTATTTCACTTGGCATAATGTCCAAGGTCCTTCTGTATGTTGCAAATGGCATGATTTTCTTCTTTCTCATGGCTTAATAATACTGCATTGTATAGATATATCACATCTACTTTATTTATTCACCCATTGATAGACACTTAGGTTGTTTTCATATATTGGCTATTGCGAGTAATGCTGCAACCAACATGGGTACAAATACCTTTTCGATACCCTGTTGTCATATCCTTTGGCTGTGTACCCAGAAGTGAGATTGCTGGATCATATGATAGTTTTTGAGGATACTTCATACTGTTTTCCATAGTGACTGCACCAGTTTACATTCCCACCACTGGTGCACAAGGGTTCCCTTTTCCCCACATTCTCGTCAACATTTGTTATCTCTTGTTGTTTTGATAATAGCTGTATATAATTACTGGTCCAAATGATTTTCTTTTTATTGTTTGTAGATAGATCACAGTTTTGATAATGAAGTACAGAAAGGAAATATTTTACACCTCATACACACACACACACACACACACACACACACACACACACACACGAGATACATGCATGTTTTTTAAAAGAAGCTATTCGACAGCCTTCGGTGGAAAGGGAGTTATTTTAGAGGAAGTTACTGTTAGATGCTGGCATCAAGTTTTTTCAGTTATGAGACATATAAAGATTTTTTAAATCTGGTTTTTCTTTGTAGATATTGAAGACTTGCCTCCAACAGTCCAAGAAAAATTATTTGATGAGGTGCTTGATAGAGATGTTCAAAAAGGTAAGCATGGAATTAATGAGTATAATTTATCTTTTATTGATTTCAATAAACTTTTTGCTTTGTAAGGTTTGGAATAGTTTGGTGTATGGTCAACATAGTTTATTTCTACTTTAAATTGAAAACGTAAGTCCTTAAGAGCAGTGTTGTGTTGTGCTGTTAGAAGTGCTCATTCATAGCTCTTAACTGTGGTAGAGTGAATAAAGGCATAAACACTTAAACCCTGGTTATCTGTTTCCTATTCTAGAATGAGTATATTTTCATATTAAAAATTTTTAGAAAATAAATCATGACGAATTTAAAAATGGGGTAAATTATTCTAGAGCCTTAAGGTGTTTCAGCTACTCAAAGGTTTATATTTCAATTGACCAGAATTTCGGTGTTTATTAGTAAATTACATACTAAATCTGTTAACTTCTAGAGGATAGGTTCTTTCTTCCACTGAATATTTCTTAATTGCAGAAGCATGAAAATGAACATTTTATTTATTTACTTATTTATATTGAAGTATAGTTGATTTACAATATTGTGTTAATTTCTGGTGTCCAGCAAAGCGATTCAGTTACACATCCTTTTCCATCTTCTTTCCCATGATGGTTTATCACAGGATACTGAATATAGTTCCCTGTGCTCTACAGTAGGACCTTGTCATCTGTCCATCCTGTATATACTAGTTTGCATCTGCTTACCCCAAACTCCCACCCCCCTTCCCCATTAGCAACCACAAGTCTGTTCTCTATGTCTGTGAGTCTGTTTCTGTTTCGTAGGTAAGTTCATTTGTGTCGTATTTTAGATTCCACGTATAAGTGATATCATATGGTATTTGTATTTCTCTTTCTGACTTATTTCACTTAGTATGATAATCTCTAGGCCCATCCATGTTGCTGCAAATGACATTATTTCATTCTTTTTTATGGCTGAGTTGTATTCCATTGTACCACATCTTTTTATCCATTCATCTGTTGATGGACATTTAAGTTGTTTCCATGTCTTGGCTGTTGTGAGTAGTGCTGCTTTGAACATAGGGGAGCATTTATCTTTTTGAATTATAGTTTTGTCCGGATATGTGTCCAGGAGTGGGATTGCTGGATCATATGGCAACTCTATTTTTAGTTTTTTGAGGAATCTCCGTACTGTTCTCCATAGTGGCTGTACCAGCTTACATTTCCACCAACAGTATAGGAGGGTTCCCTTTTCTCCACACCCTCTCCAGCATTTGTTATTTGTAGACTTTTTAATAATGGCCACTCTGACCAGTGTGAGGTGGTATCTCATTCTAGTTTTGATTTGCATTTCTCCAGTAATTAGTGATGTTGAGCACCTTTTCATGTGCCTGTTGGCCATGTGTATGTCTTTGGTGAAATGTCTGTTTAGGTCTTCTACCCATTTATCAATTGGGTTGTTTGTTTTTCTGTTGTTGAGTTGTATGAGCTGTTTGTATATTTTGGAAATTAAGCCCTTGTCAGTCAAATCGTTTGCAACTATTTTCTCCCATTCCATAGGTGGTTTTTTTGTTTTGTTTATGGTTTCCTTTGCTGTGTAAAAGCTTGTAAATTTGATTAGGTCCCATTTGTTTATTTTTGTTTTTATTTCTATTGCTTTGGGAGACTGACCTAAGGAAAAAAATGGTACGATTTATATCAGAGAATGTTTTGCCTGTGTCCTTTCCTAGAAGTTTTATGGTGTGATGGCTTGTATTTGAGTCTTTTAAGTCATTTTGAGTTTATTTTTGTGTGGTGTGAGAGTGTGTTCTAACTTTATTACATGCATCTGTCCAACTTTCCCAACACTACTTGCTGAAGAGACTTTTTCCCGTTGTATGTTCTTGCCTCCTTTGTTGAAGATTAATTGACCATAGGTGTGTGGGTTTATTTCTGGACTTTCTGTCTGTTCCATTGATCCATATGTCTGTTTTTGTGCCAATACCATGCTGTTTTGATTACTGTAGTAATTGTCTGAAGTTTGGGAAGGTTAGATCTTCTGCTTTATTCTTTTTCCTCAGGATTACTTTGGCAATCCTGGGTCTTTTATGGTTCCATGTAAATTTTAGGATTATTTGTTTTAGTTTTGTGAAAAATGTCATGGGTAATTTGATAGGGATTGTGTTAAATCTGTAGATTGCTTTGGGTAGTGTGGCCATTTTAACAATATTAATTCTTCCAATCCAAGAGCATGGGATATCTTCCCATTTCTTTGAATCATCTTCAGTTTCCTTTATTAATGTTTTATATGAACATGTTATTTAAATTCTTCATGTAGAGTTAGAAGAAGAATCTCCAATTATAAACTGGTCCTTGGAATTGGCTACACGTTTGGACAGTCGACTGTATGCACTTTGGAACCGGACTGCAGGAGACTGCTTACTTGATTCAGTACTACAAGCTACCTGGGGCATTTATGACAAGGACTCGGTGCTTCGGAAAGCCCTGCATGACAGCCTACATGACTGTTCACATTGGTGAGCTGACATCCTTCCCTTTTTGAATCCAGGAGTGCACTGGCTGAATCATTTCCTTACAGTGGTGGGATACTTTTTGTCTGTTATATTTTCTGTGGAAGCTAGGGGGAAAAACCTTTGGTTTTCGGCACTGAGACACTTTGAACATCTCAGTGGTTTTTATATCTTTTTGCTAAGCTTTAAAATAGAAACATTGGAAGCTGTAGGGGTGTCTTAAATATAGAAAGGTCTTTGCTCACCTTTTAGTTTTCTGGTTTCACCTGTTTATTTATTTTTAGTGTGGCTAGTGGAAAATTTTAAACTACACGTACGCTGTATTTCGTGTCTTGGTCAGCTCCGGTGCTCATATTTTAAAGTAGCTTTGGTTTCGTATTTGTTCAACTTTAAGAGATTATATTGATTGTGTATTACAAGTTTTTCTTCCTGAGACAGGTAGTCTTAAGACCATGTTTTATTTTGCAAATTTTCAAATCCACAGAAAAGTTAAAAAAAAAAAAATCAGTGCAAGGGACCCCAACATCTCCTTCATTGGATTGGCCAGTTGTTAATTGTTAACATTTTGCCACAGGTGCTCCATCTCTGTGTACCTAAACACTCCCCTTTGCCAGTTAGTTTTAGGCATCCTGGTGCTTTACCCTTCAGTATTTCAGCATGCATCTTTTAAGAACAAGGATATTCTCCTACCCAACCACATCCTCATTACCACATCTAAGAAAATCAACATTGAGTCAGTTATCTAGCATACAGTCCAAATCACACTTTCAACTTGTCTCAAAAATATCCTTTTTTTAAAAAACATCCAATAGTCAATCAAGTATATGACTAGTCTTGAACTGTAAATTCAGATGGTAACCTGATCGGATAGCTAAAGAAAGAATGTGTCATTCAGAACTGATGGTTTAGACATTCAGCCCTTGTCCAGGGTAGAGGACTTTGTGCCTTTTAGTGGAGGGTGATTGCTCTGGATTGATCTGGTGGTGTGGGCAATACCATTCCTTTTGTGATGCGGATTCATCAGGCCTGGTAAGCCTGATGTCATTACATGTTCAGTCTGTCTGACCTCTAGATTGGATTACGTGCTCATCAGACAACATCCTAATGATGATCTGGCTGTTTGTGTGGGCCTGCCCGCACCGAGAGGATGAGAGTCGTTTTGGATATTGTGGTTTTACAGGTTTGCCTTGTAGGTTTAGTTAATGTGACTCTGCCCTTGGAAAGATAGATCTGTCCTCTGGGTGTGGATGAGGTCTGGCTGCTCAGCCTGGAAACTAGATCTGGACCTTGGTAAGTCTACCATTTTACAAGTCCTTTTTAAAAGGCAGCTCTAGCCTTTCCTCTGACAGTAATATTCTGACCCTGTTGTAAGGTTGAAAGTGTACTGTAAATTTCAGTAGGTGATATGTACTTTTCCTAGCTGTGAGGGCTTTAAAAAGAAAAAGACATTGGTGGCTATTAATAGTTTGGGAACTTTATGCTACCTGTTTCTCAAAGCTGGCAGTGGGTAATCTTCTGGATTGGAGTTGTCACTTATATTTGTATTAGGACTGAAATTCTAGTTTTGAGTCATTTGAAGTCTCAAAAGTCTAATGTGAAAGTAGGGAGAAAAAGAAAAAGATTGCCATAATCTGAGGTGGAAAATGGGCTAGATGGCTATTGAGAGTGAGAAGGACCTAGGTTGTAGGTTCTGAGTGCAGCCACTGGTAAGTGCTGTTGTGGCAGATCGTTTGGTAGTGGAGGCCTTGGTTCTAAAAGGATGCTTCGCTGGCATATGAACAGGCTTTCCACAATAAAGAGTGCCTTGGTGCCACCTCCTCCAGTCCCTGCCATACAGGGTCTTCACCTGATGTTTTACAGTTAAGGCATAGGAAGCTGCAAGGATTGTAGTGATCACATAGACATCCTTTTCACTATCTTGGGGTGGAGAGGGGATGAAGATTATCAAATGAGGAGAGAGGAAGCATTGTTGCCGTAGATTCAAGGCATCAGTGATGTGGGTCAAATATATTAGCCTTACTGAATAACGATTAAATTGTTGACTATTTTGAGTTGTGACAAGTTTGTTGACTGGGCTGTTATATGACTATTAGAAGGTAGAATGAGAGGGCCCTGTCCTAGGTCAGGAGAGGAGCAGCCAGTATATCACTTGTGCAGTCTCCTTTTAAATCAGCTTTTTGCTAGGGTTTCCTTTGCTCATAATCCAAATCAGGTGGGATGAGACTTTTTTTAAGTCATAAAATATCTAAATGAGAACTGAGAAAGTAATTTTCTTTTATTTAAGCCCTTCCTCCTATCACTTAAAGATAGGACATTTTTTTTTGTGGTGGTAGCTGTGCTCTTCTGTTGGGTGCCTATGATTTGATCCGGCTCAAGTGCTCAAGATGGAATATTGTACTTGCCTTTGATTGACATGTCAATCCAAATAGAGAGCCAAATGGGAGTAATTAATATAAATAGGGGGAAAAATCAGTTCTTTTAGAAATATCATCTTTGGATAACTTATTATTGTGCCTCTCTATACATTTTTAGACCTTAATTTGTTGACAGCAGTTTTAGTTCACAGCACAATGGAAAGGAAGGCACCGTTGTTTGCCATGTCCCCCCACGCATAACTGCCCATTACGAACATCCCCCACAAAGTGGTATGTTTGTGACAAGTGATGAACCGACACTGACAATATTCTTATCACCAAAAGTCCATAGTTCACATTAGGGTTCATCTTAGTATACATTCTGCGATTTTGGACAAATGTGTAATGACATGTGTCCACCATTATATTGATAGTATTGAACAGAGGATTACAATTATAGTGTCAGAGAGAGTATTTTCAATGCCCCAAAATCCTCTGTGCTCTGCCACTGCATCCTTTCCTCCTGCCTAACTCTGGCAGCCACTGGTCTTTTTACTGTCTCTGTTGTTTTTGCCTTTTCCACACTGTCATGTGGTTGGAGTCATATAATATGTAGCCATTTCAGATCAGCTGCTTTCACTTCGTAATGTGCATTTAGGGTTCCTCTGTTTTTTCATGGCTTACATAGCTCATTTCTTTGTAATGCTGAAAAGTACTTCGTTGTCTGGATGTACCCATTTTATCCATTCTGAAGGACACTTTGCTTGCAAGTTTTGGCAGTTATGAATAAAGCTGCTATAAACTTCCATATGCAGGGTTTTGTGTGTTCATAGATTTTCAGTTCCTTTGGGTAAACACCAAAGTTCATAATAGCTGGATTATCTAATAAGAATATGTGTTTAGTTTTGTGAGAAACTGCCAATCGATCTTCCAAGGTAGCAGTACTGTTATGCATTCCCACCAGCAATGAATGAGAATTCCTGTTGCTCCATATCCTTGCCAGTATTTGATGTTGTCAGCATTATTACATTTAGATCATTGACATTCAAAGTGATTATTGATATAGTTGGATTCATAACTTCCATGTTTGTAACTGTTTTCTATTTGTTGCCCTGTTCTTTGTTCCTGTTTTTGTCTTTCACTCTTTTTCTGTCTTTTGTTTTTTTGTTTTTTTTTTTTTGCGGTACTTGGGCTTCTCACTGTTGTGGCCTGTCCTGTTGCGGAGCACAGACTCAGCGGCCATGGCTGACGGGCCCAGCCGCTCCACGGCATGTGGGATCCTCCCGGACCCGGGGAACGAACCCGTGTCCCCTGCATCGGCAGGCGGACTTTCAACCACTGTGCCACCAGGGAAGCCCCTGTCTTTCATGTTTTTAGTTGAGCATTTTATGATTCTATTTTCTCTACTTTCTTAGCATATCAGTTATACTTATTTTTTTAACTTTTATTAGTGGTTGCCCTAGAGTTTGCAGTATATTTTTACAGTTAATCCAAGTCCGCTTTCAAATAAAACTGTACCACTTCATGGGTTGTGTCATTACTTCATAATAACAAAATCCTAATTCCTCCTTTCTGTCCCTTGTATCTTTATTGTCATTCGTTTCACTTATATGTAAGCATACATAAGCGCATACCTGCACACACGCTCGCACGTTCATACACACACACTATATATATATACATAAGTATGCATAATCAAATATATTATTATTTTGAATAAACTATTATCTGTTAGATCAATTAAGAAAAAATAAAAGTTTTAATTTTATCTTCAATTTATTTCTTAATGCTCTTCCTTTTTTTATGTAGATCAAAATTTTTGATCTATGTTATTTTCCTTCTTTCTAAAGAATTTCTTTTAACATTTCTTGTGAACCGGGTCTCTGGCAACAAATTCCCTCCATTTTTGTTTGTTTGAGAAAGACTTTATTTCTCTTTTACTTTTGAAGGATCATTTTCACAGGATATAGAATTCTAGGTTGGTGTTTTTTTTTGTCTCAACTTTTAAAATATTTCACTTCATTCTCTTCTTGCATGGTTTCTGAGAAGTCGGATATAATTCTTATCTTTTGTTTCTGCATAGGCAGGTGTTTTTTGGGTTTTTAAAAATAAATTTATTTATTTTGGCTGCGTTGCTGTGCGTGGGCTTTCTCTAGTTGCGGCGAGCGGGAGCTACTCTTCATTGCATTGTGCAGGTTTCTCATTGCAGTGGCTTTTCTTGTTGTGGAGCATGAACTCTAGGCACACGGGCTTCAGTAGTTGTAGCACACGCTCTCAGTGGTTGTGACTCATGGGCTCTAGAGCTTAGGCTCAGCAGTTGTGGCGCACAGGCTTAGTTGCTCTGTGGCATGTGGGATCTTCCCAGATCAGGGCTTGAACCTGTGTTCCCTGCATTGCCAGGAAGATTCTTAACCACTGCACCACCAGGGAAGTCCCAGGTAGGTGTTTTTTATATTGTCTTCTTTCAGGACCTTTTTCTTTAATTTTCTGTTGTTTGAATATGATATGCCTAGGTGTAGTTTTTCTGGCATTTTTCCTTCTTGGTGTTCTCTGAGCTTCCTGGATCTGTGGTATGGTGTCTGACATTAATTTGATGAGATTCTCAGTCATTGTTTCAAATATTTCTTCCGTTACTTTCTTTTTTCTCCCTGTATTATTGCCATTTGTATGTTATACGTTTTGTAGTTGTCCCATGGTTATTTGAAATTCACTTTTTTTTTTTCTATATGTGTTATATTTGCTTTTTAGATTTGGAGGTTTGTATTGATGTATCTTCATGAGGTTCTTTGCTTAGCTGTATCCAGTCCACTATAAGCCTATCAAAAATGTTCTTCATTTCTGTTGGTGTTTTTGATCTCTAGCATTTCATTTTGGCTCTTTCTTAGGATTTCCATCTCTTTTCTTACATTGCCCATCTGTTCTTGCATGCTCTCTTTTTCCATTAGATCCCTTAGCATACTTATTATAGTTGTTTACAGTTTTTAAATTTAAAATTTTAAAGTTTTATTCCTGTGTTTTCACCTAGGAATTCCATAGTTTTAGCTTTTACATTTAAAGTCTGTGACCCATTTTGAGCTAATTTTTATTGAAGGTGTGAGGTAAAGATCTAAAATCATCTGTTTTGCATGGATATCCAGTTGTCCCAGTACTGTTTATTTTTTTTTCCCATTCAAATGCCTTGGTACTTTTGTCAAAAAGTATTTTACCTTAAAAGTAAAAGTTTATTTCTGGACTCTCAATTTTTTCCTGTTGATATGTATGTCTGTCCTTATGCTGACATTAGACTTTCTTGATGATTGTAGCTTTGTGGTAGGTTTTGAAATCTGGAGTATAAGTCTTCCAACTTTGTACTACTTTTTTCAAGATTCTTTTTGCTATTCTGAATTCTTTGGATTTCTAGATAAATTTTAGGTTCTAGCTTCTGCAGAAAAGTCCTCTGAGATTTTGATAGAGATTGCACTGAATGTAGAATTCATCCATGAATGTGGAATTGACTTTTTTTAAAAATAAATTTATTTATTTTTGGCTGCATTGGGTCTTTGTTGCTGCTCGCGGACATTCTCTAGTTGTGGCGAGCGGGGGCTACGGGCTTCATTAGTTGTGGCACGCGGACTCTAGAGCACAGGCTCAGTAGTTGTGGTGCACGGGCTTAGTTGCTCTGTGGCATGTGGGATCTTCCTGGATCAGGGCTCAAACCCGTGTCTCCTGCATTGGCAGGCAGATTCTTAATCACTGCACCACCAGGGAAGCCCCGAATTGACTTCTCAATGTTAAAGCCAAACTTGCTGTCCCACTTGGCCTCATATTCCTGGATTTGGTTTGCTTGTCTATTCTCAGTGAGCCAGGTAGCTTGAGTGTTTAGGTCTTTGTGTGGTGGGTGTGATTATTTGAACATGCTTATTTTTAAAATATATTTTTGAACAGCCTTTTTCTGCAGTCTTCTTGAGTTTTGAGTGAAGTCATCATTTGATTTCTGGCAAATTTAGGTATCTCATTCATAAAATGATCCTAGGCAGCAACGAAGAAATTTCTTAACTGCAGCAGCTTTCTGTGTTTCATGATATTTTTCCTCAAATTTATTAAAACAATGTATTTTGTCATTGGTGCATTGAAATATATTTCTGTGTATCTTAGGTATTTTAAAAGAGGAATATCCATATTTTATTTTTAAACATTTGGCATTGAAACTTACATTCCTGATTTAAAAAGAGAAAACCTGTGGTTATCTGGCATAGAAAAGTTTTTTTCCTAATCAAACAAGAGTTAAGCCTCCGTAACATTCTTTTTTAAATCTAAAATATATTAATTTACTTTTTACGGAGCCCTGCACTAAGTTACTCTAAAGAAACGTGTGACGCTAAGACATTTAATACCTTAACATTTCAACAACAGCAAAAGAATGTTTTCTGATCTTTTGATTCTTTTACCTAGAATTGAAATACATAAAAGTATTGGGGATTTCTGATAGTTCACTACATGTGAGAGGAATGTAATGTTACAAACAGGTTAAATGTCTTCAGAGGTCTTTGCTGGTTTGTTTTGTAAGACAGTGGATCACAGTTTTGAGCATAATTATATCCGGCTTTATTTAATTGTATACTTGATTTAAAGAAAAAGAATGTTTTGCTTTTAGTAATTCAGTCTACCAGTGGCCTAGTTTGATTTTTAGTCTTCATAATTTATTAGGCCGAAGTATTTAAACAGGTATTAAGCATGAAGAAGGGATTGTTCTTGTAGTTAGTGATTTTTTATTTCAATTGTCATGTGATAATCAAATAATTTAATGAATGAAATCTCAAGGAAGTGATTTTGATATTCTTGTAAACACATGGGCTATTTCTAGTCTGTGACCAAGTAGTGGATAACTATTCATTAATGGAGAAATGTAGTGTCTTTGATTTTTATCCAACCTCTCAGATGATTTTGAGTGTTTTTAGTTTTTATTTGTAAACCAATAGTAGACAATTGAAATCAACCATTCTCATCACTAGTGTTTGTAGTTTTGATGAAAATTTGGTGGGTGGTGAATCAAACTATGTCTGAGGATATGTTAAAAGATGTCTGCTAGCAGAAAGGAGGCATTTTTAATTGGAAAAATATACTGCAAGCCAGGTAAAATTAATTATTAATCTCTGCATTTGAATTGCTTAAAGACTACACTAAATAAATGATCGGAACATTAAATGAACTGTTTATAGAAAGGCTTCTTTTTTACTCTGTTGCTTTTAGGTTTTATACACGTTGGAAAGATTGGGAGTCCTGGTATTCTCAGAGCTTTGGTTTACATTTTTCCTTGAGAGAAGAACAGTGGCAAGAAGACTGGGCATTTATACTCTCTCTTGCTAGTCAGGTAAGAATGCTTCAGGGCATGTTGCTCCTATGAGAAGAGTGAGGCAGCTGGTCTAAATGCCGTGGTTTACACGAAGACCATGTTGGAGGCAGTGTGGCATGAAGGGAAGAGCGCTTGACTTGGCAGCAGGTGACTTGGGTTCTAGTGACTGCTGTTTATCAGCTCTGGGACCATAGGCAAGTCCTCGCTGCAGCACAGGGAGGGCAACATGTTTCTTATATTAAGTGATTAAAAAACTGTCCAAATAAAAGTTGTACTTGGTGATTCTAACCTCTTAAATATTTCCTCAGATTACTCTTCAGTTATATTGTCCTCTCAGGTGACTTTTTGGGATTGACATATACACGCTATTATATATAAAATAGATAGCTAATAAGGACCTACTGTGTAGCACAGGGAACTCTACTCAATACTCTGTAATGACCTATATGGGAAAAGAATCTAAACAAGAGTGGATATAGGTATATGTATAACAGTTCACTTTGCTGTACAGCAGAAACTAACACAACATTGTAAATCAACTAGACTCCAATAAAAATTTTAAAAAATAATAAATTAAAAATTTTAAGAAGTGGTGGCTTTATGCCTGTTTTACCTACCTACGGGTTAGCTCCCATTCTGTGTCCGAGGGGACACTTCCCCAAGATCTCTGTGCTAGTGGTGGGTGCTGATGCTGAGCTGTCAGGCCCCTGAGGATCAAGTTGTGATCTTCACAAGGCTCCCCAGGTGAGGAGCCTCCGTCCACGTGACGTAGGCCAAGGAGAAGGTGCCGTGGACAGGAATGATTAACTAACTTGGGAATGAACTTTTATAGGTGTATTGTGTAGGGCTGTCCCTCACACTCATGCTAGTTTTATTTTATGAAGCATATTAATATACTTAACTATAAACTTCAAATATATGCACAACAAACCACTTCTTTTCTTTGCAGAAGCGTCATAATTCATTAGTGCCCTCTGAGGGAAGCACCTTCTGCCTTTGGGTCATTTGGGCAGGGTTCACAGTGACTGTTCTACATCTGAGACATGTACCTCCTGTAAAGGTGCTGTCAGAATCATCATGGGGGGAAGGGAGACCTGTTGCATATTCTTGCCTCAGGTGATGCAGCCATTTGCAGCCATTTATGTTTGTGTGAAATAACGAAGTTCTTTTTACTTCGGGTGGACCTTGTTGTAGGTAGTACTTTCACAAGTAACTTAACCAGAAGGCAGTTATATAAATCAAGCTTCCTTTGCTGTCTGAATCTCTTGTTTCTGAAATCAGTATTTAAACAAATCTGTTCAGTTCTTGAGTTTGGATAATGAAGGATACCTGTACATAAACTTTGCAGATTTCTTTTATTGGACTTTGCTATTTGAGGAATCAAACTCTTTAGTTGGACAGTAGTATTACTATATTTTTTAAATGAATTGAGATAGTGTAATAATGAAGGAGGGTAGCATTGTGTTATACACATCAGTTTTCCGGGGTGGTAATAAATGTCTTAAAGAAAATTTACTTTCTTTTATTTTGTTCTGTACAGCCTGGAGCAAGTTTGGAACAGACCCACATTTTTGTACTTGCACATATTCTTAGACGACCAATTATAGTTTATGGAGTAAAATATTATAAAAGTTTCCGGGGAGAAACTTTGGGATATACTCGGTTTCAAGGTAAGCCATTATCATGAGTATTTTGGAGCTTTCTTGTTTATTATTTTAATGCACATTGCAGTCACATCCTGAAAATCTCATTGTGACTTTCTTCCCTCTTTCCAGGTGTGTATTTGCCTTTGTTGTGGGAACAGAGTTTTTGTTGGAAAAGTCCGATTGCTCTGGGCTATACAAGGGGCCACTTCTCTGCTTTGGTTGCCATGGAAAATGATGGCTATGGTAACCGAGGTGCTGGTGCTAACCTGAACACCGATGACGATGTCACCATTACATTTCTGCCTCTGGTTGACAGTGAAAGGAAGTTACTCCATGTGCACTTCCTTTCTGCTCAGGAGGTAAGAAGCCTGTTTCTTGTATTAATTACTTAAAGTAGCAGCACTGTACCAGAACCCAGCCTAGTGTGTCTTTCAGGTGTGGTATTATCTGTACTACCACTTACAATTTTGAACTAGGTCGTAGTAATTGTCACTTTCTATAAATCCTGGTCAGACAGACTTTGAAATTTATCTTTTCAGAATTGCTGTGTAGGATGTGTTCTGCAGAGATAAAGCAGTGAAGACCAAAGTCCTAGCCCTCAGGTAGTGCTGAGTGCTGAGGAGATAAAAAGATGGGGTGAGGGGGAAAGGGGGGGGATGAGGGGGCCACCGGGGGCCCAAGGTAAGGCATCACTGAGGAGGTGACGCCTGAATTGCGACCTGAAAGAGGAAGGAGTCTTGCAGAATCTGGGGGAAGAGAGTTGTAGGTAGAGGGAACTTCAAGGCAGTGTGGTTTGTGGGGATTGGGCAAGCGGGGAGAGACGAGGCTGAGAGGTTAAGGGGTGGCATGGGGTCGTCAACGGTCTTTTAAATCTTTGGCTTTATTCTGGGTAAGCTGGGGAGCCAACAACCAGTTTGCCCAGAAGAGGAATACTGGCAACTCGGTTGAGACTCGATACCTGGGCAGTGGTGGGAACAGGAGCAGGTGGGAGGTCACTGGAGCTGCGGGGGAGCAGGTGGTGCACGCCAGGCAGGGGAGGTGGCGAGAATGTGTAAAAGAGCGCTCCAGCCCAAATTCTTATAAAATTATTGGTCTTTCATTTCATATACTAGTAATAATTATAAACTTTTTATAACCATGATATTAAGAAAAAAGTTCAGATAATTTTTGTACCTTGAGCCTATATACATAACTTTCTGAGTAAACTTACCTTGTTCTGTTTGAAGCTGCAAGGATCAGCTTATTAGATAACATTTGCTTTTTGCTATTATATCAAACAAATTAACTTATTACTAGGCTATTCTTCCCTCTAGGTTTTTCTGTGAATTTTCCCATAGATGTTTTTTTCTATTTAACCACAGGAAACTGGGTTTTAAACATAAAATTGATGAGAGGTGGAAACCATGTTGAAACACTTTGTTGCTCTGGCCTTTTTCATTAATCATACCAGCTGTAGGTTTCTGTTAAATTTTTCCTGTCAAGTCTCTGACCTGTTGTGTTATTTTTCCTCTTCTTCACATTCCTCTAAAAGCTAGGTAATGAGGAACAGCAAGAAAAGCTGCTCAGGGAGTGGCTGGACTGCTGTGTGACTGAGGGAGGAGTTCTCGTGGCCATGCAGAAGAGCTCTCGGCGGCGAAATCACCCTCTGGTCACGCAAATGGTAGAAAAATGGCTTGACCGCTACCGACAGATCCGGCCTTGTACATCCCTGTCTGATGGGGAGGAAGACGAAGATGATGAAGATGAATGAAAATAATCAAAGAGCAGAAGAGCAAGGTACCAGCTCTGTAGTGACCTCCACGCTGCTGCGGTGCTCCAGGCAGAGTGCACGGCATGGAATGAAGCAGATCTGGCAGGATCTGCTTGGAAGGGTTTTTCTGACCCACACCCAGTGGAGACGATGCATCTGCTGTGAGGAGACAGAACTTTGGACTACAGTTTGTAAAAAATGAATTTTATTAAGACAGAACTTTTTTCCTTTCAAGTTGTAAATCTGTCTATAAATGTAACGCATGTGGTTGTGTAAGAAGTTGTGTAATAGGCAAAGTTGTACCAGCATCTTCATATTATTGAGAAGTTTTTTCCAGCATGGGCACCTCCAAAAGCACGTGGCAGATCACTCTTTGTTCCTTTGAGATAATTCTTTTTTAAGTAGAACCTGGCATTCTACTTGCATCTTAAAAGATCCGTTTTACATTATATCTCACTAGAGCTCGTTAGAGATTTGGAAACTTTTTGTACAAATTACCCACAGCAAAACATAAAAACAAGCTTTTATTTTTATTAATAATTTAGTTCCTGTTGTGCCCAATAAAATAAAATAAAACCTTTAAGGAACAAACTGTAAGAAAAGTAAGGATTTTTTATTGAGTGAACTTTGCATAGACATCGTTCCCTTGTTTTGGAAAGGGTTTTGGTTTCTATTATTTTGTCTTTTTAAAAGTTTCTGATGTGCCCCTTTTCAGTGTTTAGGTATTTATTTGTTTGGAAGAGTGCCCTTAAGATGGGGCTTCTTCTACCAGACTCTGGGCAGCAGTCTCTTTGTGAATAGTTATTCGGTGGATGTAAGTGAGGGGAGTGCTGGCCCACTCGTATGTAACTGAATGAACTGTGTGAAGTTCGCCCACTTGACTCTTGACAATGTTATACTCTCCCAGGTTGCCATGCATAGAGTCTGTGGATTCTTAACTGTCTTTTATCATCAACTCTGCTTTAAGCAAATTGTGTTAGAAAGGCATGCCTTTGCTTGGGCTAATTGGGAATATCAGTTCAGTATAGAATAAAGATTTAAGAACGCAGTAAGGCGGTAAATGCATTGTATAATGAATTTCTCAGTGAGTAGTCTGAGAATTTTTGCATGTTGGTTAATTGTGGCCATTCTTATTTAAAGTTAAGACTATAATCTTAGGTAGGAAAACTTTCTACAAAAAGTATTATTTGACCACTTCAGGTATACATTCAAAACTGGGTAAAAATTTCAGACCTATCTCAGGAACACAAAAAGACTTAGTGTCCTGGTAAGCACTTTGTAGACTATTGATGTGGCAAGGAATTTGGCAAGAAGCCCTACACACACACACACACACACACTTTTCCTTCCCTTTGATGAAAAGGCTGTGAAAACCTTGAAATATTTACTTCTTGATTTCTTCTAAGTTCTGTTTAGATGCTATTGAAATGTGCACAACCTCAGATTTGATGCTGGAATACTAAAAATAGAAAATTACCTATAAGATGTCATCTCTCTAGTTCTTTCTTCCCTCTCTGAACACTCCTTGAAACGTGTTCCCAGGATGATCGCTTTTGCTGCATGCTACAACTTGCAGGAAAAATATTTGCAATTTGATTCCATATGAATGAATTTTGATGTAATGTGTATGTTACTGTTTCAAATGGTTGTTTTCTTACAAATTGACTCTATGGTTTGCTTTCATTTTGGACAGAATTAATTAAGTTTTTAGAAGGCTGCCATTCTAATTACATAGCACAGCATCCCTATAAACTTTTCTCCATATATAGGGAGAGAATTCTTTAGTGGCCAGACATCCTGTTCTAGTTGCTGTTAAGCAAAAACTGCTCTCCCAGTTGAAGAATCCGAAGAGAAATGTTTGAGGGAAAAGCATCTAGTTGCTACGGTCTACATTACAGTCAGTGCTGTTTAGAAAACTGCAGGCTCAGTCTTTAGCCTTAGCCTCCGTGTGTTGTGTTTGCTGCGTGGTGTGTCCCCTGAGGTGCCTCTTTATTTATTTATTTATAGATCAGTGACCCTGACCACATCTAGTTTAACAGGTACAGCATTCTTCCCTGTGGGAAAGAATTATATATATATATATGACTCCATTTCTTAGGCTCCAGACAGGGATGGGGCTTTAAATGGTTTTCACAGCAGATTGGCTGGTAAAGGCCAACATTTTGGTGAATCAATGCTGTGTTAAGCTCTTGAACTATCAAACAGCCATAACTGTTGTCCCAAGATAGAGTTTGCAGTCCTTTCTCAGATTATATATGGCAGGGTGACAGATACTGTATGTCTTTTGGTTGACTCCGGACAGTAATACCTTTAACTGTATGGACTTTATGGTTCTTTTTCTAGGGAGAATACAGTGTGGTGTTTTCTGTCAAAACCCAAGTACACCATGGATTTGGACCTTTTTATGTTTTTGGTTTTTAGGCTCATCGTGTCACAGACTTAGTCTGTGTTAAGGGACTATTGCTGTGCATAGTCGGTTGGGGTCTCCTTTTTGTGCATACGTCACCCCCTCACTGATTGCCTGTTTGACAAGTGGTCGTGAAGATGATCTTGAGCTGCCACTTTGCTCCCCGGAGTGATAGGTCAGTAACCATTTGCTGTATCTCTGTCCAGGATCTCTCTCCGTGTCGGGTGGTTTCAGTGTAATTTCCATGGGAGAGTTGGGGTGGGGCCCCCACCTTAAAATGAGTGAGGAGGGTGATGCTTTAAGCTGCCATGACTTCTTTTAAATGGGAAAGGGTGGGGGGAGGCGGCTGAAAAGGAGTTCGGTACCTGGAATTGTTGGACGTGACTGACATTTGCAGATACCGCTAAGTAGTAAGGGGTTTAATGCTATTTGAGGAGGAAGACCCATAAAATCAACGGAAAGTTCCTAACCTGTGGAAATGGCTGATGTTAATTATTTTGCAACATTTCTTTGTAAATATCATTAAAAAAAATTTTTTTTGAGATTCACCTCCCTTCCTGCATTAATGCTTGAGCCAGATAATTTTGCTTTTGGGTAAATTAAAATCAAAATTCTAAAACTTGACCAATTTTGTTTCTTGAACTGACTTAGTTCTAACCCACTATTTCATCTTAAGGATGGCATGATTTGATAAGGATGGACTTATGTGAAGTTTTGATTTTTTCAATTAAACTGTCACATGAAGTAATTATCAGCATTTTTGCGTCTGGTTATGGAATAGGTAGATGACAGAAAAGTACTGTAAATCTTTGACCCTCGGAATAACAAGAGTTGGGAAACTGGCTAATTGAACATGCAGTTGCCTTTAAACATCTCAAGGAGAGAACTTTTACACTGGTGAGTTGTACTTGAATTTCAGAGCTTAACAGAAATTTTTATTACTTTTTATTGAAAACTGCACTGAACGCTAAATGTCCACCTTTACAATAAACAAATACAGTAACGGTAACTCACACTAAAACAAAACATATTTCTGATAGCCATTATTTTTCTGTTTGGGACAGTTTTAAAGGTTTTTTGTCACAAAAACAGGAATGTACCTATACAAAGGCTCAAAAGAGGCCATCTTTTAAACAAAAAGGCGATGATTCACAAAAGACTATGAATATAACATGTAACTAGTTGATACAAATCTAATAGGATTTGTTAAAATCAGTCACATCTAATAACACACCTGAAGTGTTCCTGTATAAAATATCACGTGAAGAAAAGAAGACTTTATCAATGTCTAAAAAAGTGGGTTTGTTCATAGACAATCTGACAAGTTACCATAAAAAGTGTTTCCTGAGACATAAGGAAATGCAACATTATTCTTCTTGAACCCTTTCAGTTCAAGACTTTCCACTCAATAAAATAGCTGAGGATCTGAAACTGAGAAAATATATTTGAGTACAAACAGCTTGTGAAACTTAATACTTTTTTTTTTTTTTTTTTTTTTTCATCAGAGGGTTTTTACTGAACTCACAACCAACTTGCCCGCTCAGTATTGCAGTTCAGATGGGAGAGACTTCTCTGTACAGGAGCCTGTACTGTCTTCAATCCTATGCTCGCGGTTGTCTAACACAGGCAAACAGTTTTCTCCCCATTTTGTAGTAATTTAATCTTCCTATTAGCAAAAGAGGTAACCAGCCCCCGTGGACCGAAGGGACTAGAGTCATAGGATGGGGATTTCCTCTTAATATTTTTTATTTTGATGTTTGGAACTCCTGATGCAACATTCTAGAGCAAGGTGTTCAGGACCTGCTGTGTCCAAGGGACTGATAAAGGAAAAAGATCTATTTATTCTTTGTGATTTGATGCACAGATGAAAAACTTAACACACAATAACAGAAGTTGGTCGTTAATAAATCACGTCCTAGTCTTTTTCAGCGCTTCCTCAAGCAGACGACATCTTCAGTTTTCCCAAGTCTCGGCTTCGAGCTCCTTTGTAGTTTTAACACTGCAACGTCAATGATGCGTATGTCCAGAATCAGTTAAAAAGACTGTCAGATTCCTTTTCTCTTAGTTCATCTATTTTTCACTGTCTCTTGGTCCCAGGTGTATCTGAACGGTTACCTTCCGTCACTCTCTGCTATTGCTCGTTGGGGTGCTCTCGACTGTCCCCGTGTTTTGTGGGCTGGTTGGGAGAGGGAGCTTGGGAAGGGTGTGCCACCGTGGGGAGGTTGTGGGTTACCGGGATGCCTCCGGGGATGATCCCTTCCATGGCTGCAGGAAGTCCTCCCGGAGCCACGCCCACGATGCCTGGCGGGTATCTAGGGAGGGCGGGCACAAGAGAAAGGGCCGGTTAAGTTCAGGCCCCAGAAGCTGCCAAGCTCTTGCTCTGCCTGTTTTATGGAATGGGTTGTCATACTTCCTACCTCCAAAGCAAGGAGAAATCTACATGGAAAAGTTAAACATGGACATCTAATTCATAAACAACAAAGCCTATTCAGTCCAATCAAAGCACTAATTTTGTAGCTTTTAGGCAACAGCAATAGACTATACTAATTAATTGTGCGTGGGGAAACCGTGTCACATTTGGAAAACGTTTTGGATAAAATAAATTCCAGGTTTTCCGGCTGCGTTAGAAAGTATTCATCAGTTATATCAGAGGCTTTAATGATTTCCTAACAGAGGGCGTGAAGTACGCTTGCGAAGTGACTTCCTAGGCTGGTTAGTTACCGGCTCCCGTAACCTGGGATGTGGGTGGGGACAGGGCAGCAGCAGGGGAGATGGTGAGCTGGTGACGGGCAGGATGCCTGCCCTCTGAGGGTACCTGGAGGGCACCTGAACGTGGCCTCATCTTATCCTGCAGGCACAGGAATGGCTGTGCGCGCGCGCACGCCCAAGCACATGGACATCATGCACAGGTGTGACTCGTGTATTTAAACACTGAGGACAAAACATACTTATGAAGCAGGGGCTTTAGAATTAGTCTTCCTCTCCAAGTTATCAAACCCTTCACACTTGCGGTAAAGGGGACGGGGTCTCGGCCTGTTACAGTGACGCTGGTCAGGGACTGTCCAGGAGGACTCTGATGAACAGGACCCTGTGAGCTGCAACCCTCCAGCACAAGCAGTTTTCCAAGGGGCCAAGGAGCCTTGCTCTTGGGACAGAGCCGAGAATTGGAATTCCTATTTTAAAGGGGGTGCGGGGTACGGGTGGGTTGTGCATTCCCCAGGGGGTCTGAATCACTGTTCATTCCGGAATAATTAGGACGTGGCCCTTAAAGGGTAGGCCACCAACACGGACAAACAGGGGAATCCAATCTGGTGCTGGGCTGGGCTCAAGTGATGCTTGAAAATGCTTATGAGGGTAAAACACAAGTAGGACTTTAATAGAACATGCTGCATGTAAATAAAGCCATGTGACTTAGGAAGAAACCGCTTAGCTTCCTTGCCCAGAGTAGGAGCTTTCATGTATGGGTCCTTTTACACAGACTATATTTAATCGCCCCCTAAAGCAGTGGTTCAAAACCAGGGATCCCGGGCAGTGTCTGGGGGGCGTTTTTAGTTGTCACCGTTGGGAGTGAGAGGTGCTATCGGCATCTAGCGGGTGGGGGCCAGGGCTGCCACTATACATCCTATAACGCATGGGACATCTGGCCCAGTACTGCCAAGGTGGGGCAGTCCTGGGTCAGAGTAAGCAGAACAAAAGGTCCCTTCTGGCATTCCACGCTGCAGCTTCTCTCCTTTATGGGGGAGGAGCTATTTCCCTGCAACTGGCCATGCTGGGGGAAGAGAACCATGGAAAACTACCACAGACAAAACCCCTGGTCCCTTCCAAGGGTCCTGGCTCGTGTCCCCAGTGCAGGCTCTCTTGCCTCAGTCCCACCCAAACTCTGTCACTGTCACGTGCCCCTGGGGTCAAACTTCCTGCTTCACGGAGAAACAAAGACACCCCCCCCCCCCGCCCGTCAAATGGACTGGGCTTTGGCCAGAATGCTCTCCTTGGACAGAAAGTTCAAGTTAGAAAACAAAATCAGGCCCTCTTCCTTGATGACCTTTTCTGTACCTTTTCACCTAGAAACCCTCTGGTTTTCACGTGGCTTCGGAATGAACAGTGATTCAGACCCGCTGGGGAATGCACAACCCACCCGTACCCCGCACCCCCTTTAAAATAGGAATTCCAATTCTCGGCTCTGTCCCCAAACTATGTTTGTTCCATGGAAGAACTGAGAGGAGGGGACAGTGTGTAATTCCTACTAGCGCTCAGGTTGGCTTAACGTCCCCAAGTCCCCTGTCTCCGCCCTCCCCCAGGGAGCAGGGCTCAGCCCATTCCTCTCCTCACCTGTATGTGGCACCATTGAGCTCTGGATGAATTGCTTGCTGATCTATTACTGACCAGGGAGCTGTTGTGACAAAGAATTCCTTGTTCACACAGTTTCTTAAGCTCTCTGGGATGCGACCTGGAATAAGATGATTAAAAGTAATCATAGGTATTTTTCAAGGTCACAATGACTTAAATGTTATACTTCTCTGTTATGCGGGGACAAGCTACAATGCAAGTCTCTTACTCTTTGATAGGAAGGGCCGGCCCTTGTATTTCCACAACATATGACTTGTTCCAGGGCCTGAACCACACTGGGCTTCAGCCAAACAGAAGGGAGCTGCCCAAGGCTCCCCCTGGGGCTCCCTCCCCTTCCAGGTTTGTGAGACTTGCACTGGCTAATACAAAAGGGAATTGGTTTCCGCTGAAAGAAACGGGGCCCAACTCATTGCGAATTTCTTCAACTTGACGCCTAGAGACCACCTCTGCCAGCAGCAAAGCCCCACGCCCCCTTCCGCGTGTCCGTCACCGGGATCGGAGGCGGCCAGCGTGGCAGAGGGCTCACCTGTGATGGCCCGGCGGATCTCGGTGGCGGCCGCCTCCCTCATCTCCAGTGAGGCTTGCTCACTGTACCAGGCCGTGTGGGGTGTACAAATGAGATTCGGTGCGTCTTTCAGGGGACCCTGAGCAAAGCTAGATGAGCATACAAACAACACAGTAGATGAGGAAAACAACGCACGTCACTCTCACTCCTGCCCTGCTCGTCAAAAGGGAGCCCTTGGCCGTGTGGAATGCTAGCCACTCAGATAAAACGGGGGGGGGATTCTGCAGTCTGTTTCCTAAGGGTTGGGACTGTAAGAACATACTCATAAAACTGTAATTAGCGTCAGGCATCACGAGGGACTCGGAAAGAAGGGACAATTCTAGGGAGGGCCGACTAGCCTGCCTCCAACCAGAGCAATCCAGAGTACGGGGAAAGCCTGCTCTTCACCGCCATTTGTCTTCCTGCCTCTCCCCTTTCTGATCATCTTTGGGGGAACTTCTGGCCCTTTTATACTTGGTGAGAATACAGCACAGACCTTAGAAGAGCAGAGGCTGTAAACCTGGTCTCCAGGTGCCCACCCAGGACCCGTCTGGGAAGCTGCCCCGAGTTCACAGTGGGGCTCCTACAAGTTCCTGTGCGAGCCCTGAGCTACCAAACCTGCCTGAAAGGCTCCGATTCGTGCACGTCGAGGGCGGCCCCTCGTATCCTGCCTTCCTTGAGGGCTTGGGCTAAGGCTTTCTCATCCACCAGTCCGCCGCGGGCCGCGTTCACT